TATGCATGTCCCAATAGTCCTAAGCTTTTGTGGGAAAAATTTGAGGAGCATTTGTGTGCAGATTTTTTGAGGCACTCTGGTTGTACAATTCCTAGGGCACGACAGAAGGGACTTGTACAACTTAGTGGTTTTCTGGAGTCAATGGGTAAAAATATTACGTCTTTTGACCTCTTGCCTATCAGTCCAGAATTCCAGAGTCAAAAAAATACGCGTGACGTAGATGCTGAGAGGAGTATAATTGTTTCTCACGAGGACCTAAATGCTGTGGGTTTGCTTAATAGAGAACAGAAAAGGGCGTTTGATGTAATAATGAATTGCATTGAAGAAAAGAAAAAATGTGCTTTCTTTGTGGATGGACCGGGTGGCACCGGGAAATCTTTTCTTTATAGAGCTTTGCTTGCGACTGTGCGGTCTAGAGGTTGTATAGCGCTTGCCACTGCAACATCTGGAATTGTTGCATCCATGTTGCCTGGAGGTAGGACCGCACATTCTAGTTTTAAAATTCCAATAGATTTATCGGATATGAAATTTTGCACTATTAGCAAACAAAGTTGTTTGGGGTCGCTGATACGTGAGAGCAAGTTGATTGTGTGGGATGAGGCGCCAATGGCTAAAAAGGATGTCATTGAGGCACTGAATCTTGCGCTGAAGGACCTCTGTGGTTGTGATGAACTCTTTGGTGGTAAGGTCGTAGTTTTTGGTGGTGATTTCAGACAGGTGCTGCCTGTGTTGCGTAGGGCCACTAGAGATGAAACAATAGGTGCTTGTCTGAGTAGCTCATACATATGGTCGTTGCTTACAAAACTACACCTTGTGGAAAACATGCGGGCGCGTTTAGATCCTTCATTCACGGAGATGCTTTTGAGAATAGGAAATGGACAGGAATGTACGTACGATGAGGACCTTGTTAAGATACCGCCTTCAATAGCTATTTCAGAACCTCTTGCTGACGACTCCTTGGATGAACTAATTAGAATAATTTATCCAGATCTGGCGCACCTAACAGAAACAGAACTTTCAGTGAATAGGGCAATTCTGACAACCAAAAATAGCTTTGTAGATGAGGTGAATGCAAAGCTCATAAATGAGTTCCCAGGTGATTTGGTGGAGTACTTGAGTTTTGACAAGGTTGAGAATCCAGCCCATGAAGCAGAGTATGGAGACTTGATAAATTCGCTGACGCCGAGCGGCATCCCAGAACACCGGCTGATGCTGAAAAAAAAATGCACCGGTTATACTACTGCGGAATTTGGACCCTACGGAAGGCCTTTGCAATAGAACAAGACTGGTGTGCAAAAAATTGGATAAGAATGTCATCCACGCTGAGATTTCGGTTGGAGACTTTGCGTGCAAGAGTGTTTTCATCCACCGAATACCGTTTGAACCTTTACCAGAAGAACAATATCCCGTTCCCTACAAGCGCATCCAGTTTCCAATCCGCCTGTGTTTTGCAATGACGATAAATAAGGCTCAAGGCCAGACGCTCGACTCAGTTGGTGTTTATTTGAGAGAACCGGTTTTCTCGCACGGCCAACTTTATGTTGCTCTGTCGCGTGCAAAAACCTCGCATTCTGTAAAGATGCTGATTAAACTGCTGTTTGCCAACGACCAGCGGTTAAACTACACTAAAAATATAGTCTACGCAGAAGTGCTGCAGGCTGCTGGAATTATCTAAATTTGTTGATCCGAGGTTTGTGTTTTAGACATACTGTTTGTTTCTATGTGCATGATTTATCTGGCGCGTGTTTATTTAGTTATTTTTCCTGTGCAGGACATATGCCTGGCTGTGGATCTTCGGAGGTCATGTGTGGCAAAGGATTTCTTCATGTGTCTCTACGGTAGCGCCTGCGTTGGGTGGAAAAGATTACAATATTGTGGAGTTTTTATTCCTCTTTGGTTTTCGTGTTGGCGCATTGGTGTGGCCCGCTTGTGCTGGTGAGAAGTGTCTATTTTTGGTGTGTTCGCCGCTCGACGCGTGTGCACAATTCCCGCGCCTCTTATTTTATGTGCCGGCCATGGTGGTCGGGGCATACTAAGGCTGGCTTGTGCTTCCTTTTTTTAGCTGGCTGTCCTGAGGACAGAAATGTTTACATTTTAGTGTAACTTGTGCCGTACTCTCTTTTGATCAGTTATGTGTTCTTTCTTTTCATTTAATGTCCTGTGCCTCGGGTTTCTTCTTCCTGCTCATTTAACGGTTTTTTCTTGTGTTGCGTTTTTTCACAACTTCTTTTATTTTCTTCTGGTCATTTATTATTCCATTCTATAGGTTGTGGGTGTTCATTTAATTTGCTGGTCACATTATTTAGTTTTCTTGTTCATTGAATGTTTTTTTTGTTCAATCTCATTTACTTGTTTTGATGAACTCTAACAAGTGTGTGGACATCCTTTTCTGTTGTACCTTGTTGTACCTTTATTCGTCCATGTTTAACTTTTATTTATTATTTTTTTGGTGGCTAATTAGCTTTCAAATACAGTAGTGTTCATTTTTCGTCTTGCCTATAATTAATTCCAGTGGTGTAATTTTGCGGTCGCACATTTTGGCTGCATTTAGGTTTTGTGTTTATGTTCTCTTGCTGTAATTGAACTTGTGGCCGCCAACTTTTGGGTGCCCAATTAATGCAAGTTCCTACAAATGTTTTGTTGCGCCAATGTTCATCACGTGTGTTTAAAAAAATATTGTTGGGACCGTTGGTTTGGGGAGCAAAAATTGATGACAGGTGGAGTCCCTTTTGTTTTGGCCGTGCCTAAATTGGTTACATTTTGCGGTGTTAATCTGGGAGTGATGCAAAAGAATTAAAGAACGTCAAAGACGTTTGAACAAACAAGTGGGGAGAAAAACGATACCAGTTCTGTGTGCTTCATTAAACCACACATTTGAACTTCTAAAAAATTCTGTTCGGAGTGATTTACTAAACAGATGAAGGGAAAAATGTATTGTTTTTTCTTTTGCTAATAATTTTTTTTTCTAAAGTCCCAAATATAAATTTTATATCTAGGTATGAAAGGATGATATCAGTGTTCTGGGTTGTCTATTGTTGTCGTCAGATTACAACGTTAGGCCACCTAACCATTTAATTGTTTCAACTGCTTAGAATGATAAGTGTAATTTGGGGTTTAAAATACTGTGCTTTTGGTGGGGGTCTATATTTTTTGGTGGTATACATTAGTTTGGGTATTTATTTGGGTACTTAGTAATTTTTTCCCCACGAAATTTTAAATGAACTTACAACCATGGTTTAATTGGATATTAATAAACCGGGTCTCGACACTATTTCCTTATACCAGTACCAGATAATTTATAGCTGCCCCAATCGCGTGCACTGCCTTGTGCAGGTCTCCTGGTCAAGTGAAATCCGACGAAGGATTACAGTATGGCCTTATTGTACGGCAGATTTCGCGTCGTGGGGCGAAAATCTCATCGGTCATTTCCCCTATTGCGTTCGTGCGCTTTGGGAATTAGGGTTGTACGAACGCCCCCGATTTTCTGCAACACAATAGCACTTTGAAGGCTACTACACGCAAGAAGAAGTGAAACTGAATTGCCAAAACGTTGAGGCGGTGGCACAGAGAACGTAATCTCTGCTGCCCTAGATCTGCGTGGGATTATTTTTGGTGTGGTGTGCACGCCTCAGCTTTTCTGTTCTAACTGATTTTTCGCTCTCACTGGGGTCTCAGAGATTGGCAGAAAAGGTGATGTGACTGACTCAATCACTGGTACACTTTGGGGTTTGGCCACGCGATTTCAGACTGGAAGTGGGGTCGGTGGAAAAAAGGCAGGTCTTTAGGGCGTGGATGTTGTGTACTTGCACAGCAGTGGCACCTTTATTTGCTGTGGCCAACTATTGTTCTTCGATTGCGGGCTATAAATAGCAGGGCAATATGAACGAGCACTCACACAGAAAAATCCATACAACAACAAGTTGGTAAGAAAATAGCATTCTACATTTTTTTTGCAGTGGACTCTGCTTACACATTAGTGCCAAAAGAAAAAGAAAATAAAACAATATCAAATCGGTTTAGGTCTCAGTAAACCTGGGTATTTCATTGGTCTTCCTTATTACTTCCACATTCTTGCTTTTTTAAAAAAGAATAAAGGGTGAGCTCATCCGTGTTTTTTGGTTGTTTGAAATTGTTAGGTAGGAATGAAGAACACCATGCAAATTGCGCAGGTTGACGAGAATGTGAAAGGCTGGACAGTTTTGATTCAAGTTGTTGAGCGCAGCAACATATTTGTTAGTCAAAAGGATCAATCCATTTCTTACCGTCGATTTAAGTTTGCGGACTCTGAGGTGATGTGCATGATACATGATCCAACCCTCAATTTTGGCTATGAATCATTTTCCTCTAACGTATGATATTTGAGTTAACGTTGGCGGCTTATTTTTTCTTTAGGGCACGCAAGTTGGGGCAGTAGCGTATAACAGTAATATTAGGGAATCCTCGCCTATGCTGCAGCTCTATAAGAGGTACTATATTTCGGGGGCTGCATTAAAGAGGGCAGACCCGAAATACATGGTTGGCTCTTATCCGTTCACATGGACAATCACCAACCGCACTTTGATTCAACCTTGTGAGGATAAGCTGCCTGAGAAACTAGACTGTCACATTGACTGTGAGAAGTTTGGTAATTTGCATAGATTTGTGGACACCGAAGATCTGCAGAGTATGTTGTATCTCATTTTATAGTTATACAAATGAAGTATAAAATACTGCTGTGTTCAAATGTTTTCTTGTCGTGCCTCTGCCGTATTTGTGTTGACTCGTGTGTGATGGTATGTTGTTGCGCAGATGTTCAGGGCGTCGTGGCACATGTTTTTCAGATGAAAGATGTTGGAGTGGACGCGGTGAACAGAGACATTGTGTTGATCAATGAAGAGTAAGCCTTATCTTACCTTAAATATGATGGATGCTTTTTTGTCGGCTATTGTGGTGTTGTTGACGACAATGTTTATATTGTAGGCTGGTTCCAATGATACTTACTCTGTGGAATGCCTTTGGTGAGATCGAAGGGTCACAACTAGCTGAAACCATCAACACTGGAAATGTTGTTGTGGCTATGCGAGTGAAAGTCACTACGTTCCATGGTCTTTCATTGTCTACTAGAACCGCAAGCTCTATTCTCATCAATCCACCAACGCCTGATGCCGCTGCTCTCAAACAATGGTGGGTCATTTCAAATTGTACCTGTGACATACGACCCGTTGTGCCGCTTTAAAACTTAACATGTGGGACTTATGATTTCAGGTACTTGCAAAACAAGGCAGCTGTGTCGGACCTCATTGCAGCTGAGGCGTACAGCAACCCTGCAATTTTGCTCCCCCCGCCAGAATCTGAGGACATCAAGACCATTGCCACATTTCTAAGCCCCGAGAACAGGGTACATATTATGATATTCTAAAGTATAGTTGGGTGTGCTTCATCTGAATAAAATTGTATGCCTGTTGCACAACATAGGTTCACACTGCATGGGTTCAAGGATCAGTTGCTATGGATAATGTAGGGCACCCACTGTGGTTTGGCGCATGCATGCTTTGTCTGAAAAAATTTGACCTCCCCGTGACCTCAGACATAAGGTGCAGCTCTTGCAACAAGGACAACCAGATAGTAGCGAGGTATTGCAATTTGTTGTTGCCTATTCAACATGAGGAGCCATGCTTGCTTTGGGCACCAAAATAAAAATTTACGCATGGATTTAATGCAGGGCTAGGATTCCAATAACCATTGAAGATGTGAGTGGCACAATTGCAGCTGTGGTCTATGGCGAAGACGGTGAAAAGCTCATCAACCACACTGCTGCGCAGCTTGAGGATGCAGACGCACAGGTCATGATTACTATTAAAAAGGCTTTGGTGTAACTGTTGTCCATGGTCTTATATTATCTTTGCTAAACATGTGGTTAGACTAGGTAATTGTAGTTCGGTTTATCCTTATAAAGATCAATTTAAATTTGCAGGGTATGGATTTGTTGGAGAAGTTGCGGGCCGAGATGAAGGGCACTCATGGCGTAGCTTTTGTGCGCTCTTATCAGGCAAATGGCACAGCCTACACTGTCGTGAAGCTATACGTGGACACTGAATTGCCAGGCTACATACTTCCAGTTTCAGATGAGTGCATAACTCAGGAATCACCACTTAGGACTGAGGTTATCGAATCATTGTTATCTGTCTATAATAAAGGCGTAATTTTAGTAAACGAACTTGAACTCAGTATTTCTAAAATAAAATATAGGCTGAAGAAGAAACAAACGTACAGGCGCCGAGTCTTAAGGCGCACATTGAGGCAATACCTTGTGGAACTATGGGCACACGCGCTGATCTTTCATGTAACTTGCTCGTTGGGCATGAAGTCGACTTCGAAACTGATGAGAGTGGCGTGAAGTCTGTTGGTAATCTGCAGGACACCGAGTGCACCGGCGCCTATCCCACCAAAAAAATTGTGACCGAGCAGAAGGCAGTGAGTGGCCCAACGAAGAGGGCACACACAAAGAAGTGATGGCCCATAAGTTAGGCATAGAACTTTAGTAATCTATTTTGTATTATGGTATGTAAGTTGTTAAGCAAATATGCTTGTGAACCTTTTGTGATAACCTTTTGTTATGTTGAGGCTATAATTCCAGAACCACTTAAGCACCTTTATGATGGGGTGCTTACAAGATTCTGGAATGTTGCTCAACTGGTTGAACAGTGGCCATCGCTGTGTGTACGTGAACGGATGTTTTGTTCTTAATGATATGATGGCGTTTTCGTAATGCGTGTTGTGAGGATTCCTTTTGTTGAGCTGCTGTTAGGTGTTTACAATTATGCATTTTTGTTTTTTCCCTCCTTTTCAACACATCACGTAAAATATCGAGTTCTAATAATTAAATTTTGTTTACAATTTCCTGCAATTGGTACAAACTCGTTATGTACTTGTATTATTTAGGTTGTTATATATTATGTGTTATGTGACAACACTAACTATTTTTTTTATACCACATATGTATATACATGTAAATATAATTCATTTAACTTCAATTATTAATCATAATTTAATATTTGTTTTCTTATATAATTAAACAAATATATTTCAAATAGACATTTGTACAATAAATTTAGAATGGAACAAATATTCATGTTAATTAATTTAAATTATATCTTTGAAACATTCATTAAAAAGTTTAAAATCTATTATTATTAATTTTAAAATAAAATTGTAAATATAATCAAAGATAATACGGAATTTACATAGATGCACATTATAAGTTCACTCTCTTCTGGTGCCACGTGTGCTGAGTCCGGTATTTTGAGCATAAAAAAATAGACAAGTGGTGGCCTAAATTGAAACACACACCCTTAGCAAATGGTCACTCCTTTTTCTAGAAACCTCCGCCCCAAATTCTTACCAGCGTTAAATTCAGACACTTCTCACAATCTGGATTCCAGCCTACGCAAACAAACCGTCCTGCTCCACACTGCAAGTGCGCCGGTCACAAAAAACCAACGGCGTTCGTGCGCGCAAAATAACCGGTGAGTCATATTCAGATCCTCACTCGAATATTCTTCGCTCTTCAATATATGATTCGATGCGTTCTCACACCGCATGAATTTGCAATAGTAAAATCTAAATGAACAGCCCATAAAGTAAGGTGCGTGTGCGTGCTCGTGTTACTCGGCTTCAGGTTTTTTGGGTTCAAACAAGATTACCAATTGGGTGAATACAATTGGGTTTTTTACACTTCATAATTTGATTCATTAGATTTTTTTTTCTTTTAATTTTTGTTTTTTTGGGGGTTCAATTATAGTTGTAAGATGATTAGAACATTTGGGCTCCATGCTCAAACATAGTGTCCAGAGTATTTCATGCATCAGATTCCATGGGGACAGCACATTTACTTAGTATAGTTTCGAATGTACTCATCTTTCTGCTACATTCTTTTCTTCGGTTATGGTACTCAATATTTTATTATTATTATATTTATTATTATTATTATTATTATTGTTATGTATCTAAATTAATTGCGTTCAAAATTTCTGATATAAAGATGTTAGAAGACATTCGAGTTTGGGGCCTGTTCTTTCTGAAGCTCTATTGCCTCGTTCTCTGTCTCTTTATTTACCAAAATAAACATAATTGGCAGAAATGGAAATTACTTAAATGGAAGAAATGCCAAATTTTGATACCCATTTAGCCTTTTTCCTGTTATACCTACAACATAGTAGATTGCTTTTCAAGTCACCTGTTGTAATGTTTGAGGTTAGTTATGTGTCAACATTAGCCAACAATGAATTTGTGTTTTTTGCTGGGTTCATTATAGTCCCTGTTTGTGCGTGTGTATACATTTTTACATATATTTCATATTTTCGTGACAATGCTGGATTATTCTACCGTAGTATCTTTACAAATTCGATTTCTTTGTGGAAAGCGTGGGAGCTGGACAATATGGATATGGATAATTTCTCAGTGGTTATTCTGGATTCTCGAAGCCCCACACTGGTAATATTTGTGTGGAATATAGCTTACAACTTCAAAATATGATTTATTTATGATGTTTGTCTCCGTAAACACTTGTGCTTTGTTCTTATCTTCATAAACTAATAAAATAATCTCCCAATGCTTGCAGTTGTTGCCGGACGCTATGCACGGCCTATATAATGCTCATGTGCCGTTACTCTGTACCTTGACAACCAAAGAAGGGCGCGACTATTAGGTTACCATGAAACTGGTGGACAACCGTGTACACTTTGCAGATGGGTGGGAACTCTTTGTTCGTTTCGAGGACATACGCAGTAACTACACGCTTTTTTTCAAACGTACAACCCCGAAAAACTTCACAGTCACAGTTGGGACGTATAATGCTGTTGAGAGGCGTCCGCAGCATCGTTTCATATTACATGCAAAGAAAACGCATGTTCAGCGTGCACGCTTCGTAACCCACTTTCCTCTTCTCTATAATATAATGCAATTAGTTAATAATTACGTGCAACAATTATGAGATACTTATTTAGTTATTATCACTGAATTTTGGCAGCACATTCCTATGAGCTTTTGGAAGCAGCACATCAAGAACAAAATAAGAGACACTAAGCGGGCTTTCCTGCTGTTTAAAGGGGCTGTCTATTCGCTTCAGATCGTTGAACGGCACGGTAAGAAGTTGATGCAGCATGGCTGTGCAAAACAATTTATAGATCATGTTGGGCTTCTCGAGGGTTCAATATACTGTTTCACGTTGCTTCCAGACAATGAGCTAACATTTAGGGTAGTTGTGTAGCCTGGATTTATATGTATCAAATTTTAACCGACGGATCTCTAATTAGTTCTCCAACAATGTAATGCATCTTTTGTGATCGCTTTCGGATATAAAAATATGAAGTTTCTTTAGCATCGTACAATATAGCAGAAAACTTCCATTTCAATTATCAATCTATTTGTAGTTTGTTTTGAATACTGAAGGACAACAATATTAAGGTTGATGCGGTCCTTTCATCTCTGCAGTTTATTTTTGTAAATTTCTAATCTCTTTTCTCAGTGATTCTGATGGCCTTTATGTGGAGAAATTAGTTCATGTGTCCTACAGCACTTCGAAAGGCAATGCACTTTAGTTTTATGTTGCACTCTGATGAGCCATGTTAAAATATGAAATCATACATCAATAATAGAAGCCCCACAACAACAATAATATATTTCATCTAAAAATTTATAGCATACACCTTTTATAAAGTAAACTTTTACTTTCCCAAACTCCTCTATGGCATGTGCTTCAAAGGAAAAGTATAAAATCAATCGGCAACAAATTCTCACGCCTGCAACATCCCCATATAACTCCATATTGTGCCTTTGCTCAGGTCCCAGAAGATTCAGCCATTTGTAATATAAACGTTAACAAACGGCAGGTATTAAATTATATAAAAAACGGTAAAGAAAAACACTCACACCAGCCTCGTGGGCCTCCGCATTAAAAAAAACCAAAATCTGACCAGCACCAAATAACAAATTTTTTGTGTCTATTTTTACATTGAATTTTAGTGTGAGGTGAAAAAAATACCCAAATTAGACACGCAGACATGAACTGCGCTGACTAAATTTTGGCCGGACGTTTGGATTTTATTTCTACATCTACACTTCAGCAAAAAAATGAATATCTGTTTTTTAAAATATTGACTAATATTAGTTATAATTATAGGTTGTACTAAAACCCGATGTTTGTGCACATCCATTCGGCCAACGCGTATGCATCTTCTAATGGTGCACTTATGGAAAGTAATGAAAGAATATGCAATGTTCAAAAGTAATGGAAGAATAAAAAAAATAAGAACTCATTGATTAATTAGTTCTTTGAAAATTAAGTGATAGAGGAGTTGTTATTTAAATCTAAAAAGAGTCTTTGATATTTTTATTGCAGGGGTTAATGAAGTTGTATATTATAATATCACTGCCAATTTTTCGAAACAGGTTTACTTAAATTGAACAGCAACATTATTTCTTTTTTTTTTTGCATATTTACAATTAAATCCATAACTGTAAGACTAACTTTATTGGTGACCCAACCCACGGCCACCAATTAAAATTTAAAAAAAAAAAAGGGAAAGGTTGTAGGATTTACGTAACCCAAGTCACGTTGTGACCTTGGGTCACGACCTTGCTTATTGTATGAAAATGGGCCAAATGTCCCATTTTTATTGGAAAAGTGTTTTTTTTTCTTTAAAAAAATAAAAAAGATATTACAATTGTATTTTTTCATTATCTACAAATAAAGAGTGTGATATATTTTAGAATAAAATTATAATTTTTAAATAAATTAAATTAAAATAAATATTTAAATGAAATTGGGTTGGGATACAAAAATTAATTACGTTGTAAGATTGAGTTATGCATGTGGAGGAGAGATAATCTTTTTTTTTTTTGTACAGGGACCTTCCGGTTTCTGGATCTACGGGGAAACCGACTAATCCGGAATCGAGCTGGGTAGGACCACAAGGGCGGCAAAGCTCTCCATCAAGATAAATTATTTTAATTATTAAGTTAAATTGAGTTGAGTTGCGGATAAAGATGTCTAATTATTTATAGTACTTTTTGGGTTTCCTTTTTTTATAAACTTCTTTTTTTTTATATATCAAAAAACGATGATATCGCTAAAAGAAATTTAAGTTTTATAGCTCTATTTATTCATTTATCGTTCGAGTGTGGAGACATCTCTTGCCCTTTACCATCTACAAACTATGGCGAGGCTTCTGACGGAGACTGCAACGACAATTACGATGGTCCTTTTCTTCGGACCGACGCGACTATATCGCGTTTTTAGGGTACACGGTAAGCGACGATTTCCGACTTTTTTGATTTGTTTTTCGCGTTTGGTGGGATTTGACACTCTTTAGGGAGGGATACAAGATTATAACCTTATACAGTACACACGATTTAACAATTATTTGTCATCATTCACACAAAAAAAGCAGTTTCTATGGACATGGGTGTGGAGTTGTTGATTTATTGCACAGTAATTTTAAGTTCGTACACAAGCCCATGTCCGTGGGACAGGTTTCAATCATTTCAATTTTTTTGATGATACAGTCATAAAACAGGCCTCGCTGATTACAAAACTGCATTGTCTTCGTCGCACCTCAATTTCATATCAGTTTTTCTAAACAATCATCAGCCGTCCTCCTCCTCTGTCCCAAACACAGTAACAAAAATGCAGACCAAGGTGTGTTGTTTGTAGGACCTCACAAATTTCCGGTGCACTCATAATTTCTCTGCAGACATTCACATTTTGACATTTCGTAATTTTAGATTACAATGAAGAAAACAATTCCAATTGCTCAAATTGAAGAGAAAGTTCGGGGCTGGACGGCGTTGGTCCAGGTTCTCGACAGGAGTCACATTTTAGTGAGCGAGGAAAACCCAACCATCTCATGTCGTCGCTTCGTATTTGTCGATTTGGATGTAAGGGGCAATTTAATTTATGTGGTTTTGGGCTTTATTTGTTGTGCAGTTGATGGGGACATGTCTTTAGAAGAGCATACTTACACTTTTAGTGAAGGAATACACCAACATGTCCATGTGCAAGAAAAAAATAATATAATTTCGGAAACAATCATGTAGCACCTTGTTACTGTAATCCCCTCCATCTGCTCAACTTTTACCTATTAAACTCTGGAATATTAAAAATTATTGCAGACTTTGTAAATATAATAAAAGTTTCAAATTAAGAAAAAAATATTGGCCGGCAGTTGATCAAGATAACTTCAAAAATATATTTTCTTCTCTTTAAGCTTTCACTGTTAGTAAGCTTCTTAATTCTTTCATCTGATTTGAAATAGAATGTTATTTATTGGCTGTGATTTTTATATCTTAATGGTACAAATGACAAGTCACACTTCATCTGAGAATCATATGTAGTATATACTTTATTAATGCTCGTGGTTCTGTTTAAGTCGTTCATACTTGTGGTTCACTTTAAGTGCATTGACCTGGGAAACCTTTTAAGGTTTGTGGGATATTTCAGTCACTAATGTGTTTGAACTGTTGTCTTAATGTGCTCTTTGCTTCATTTACTGTGCGTTTTGCATTCTTTTGGAATTAATGTTATTTATGCAGGGCACAAGAGTATCAGCAGTTGCATACTATGAAAATATACCGCCATCTTCAACGCATCTAATCCCGTTGAAGAAATATTATGTGTCTGGGGCTACACTAAAAAAGGCAACTGAAAGCGACAAGATTGGGCCTTATCAGTTCACATGGACCATCAATCATAACACTTTCATTGAGCCCTATGAGGACGGGCTGGTGGAGGAAATGTTCTGGCCCATAGAATACCAAAAATTTGGTAATCTACAACGATTTATAGACATTGAAGATTTACAGAGTACGTCATCTTGCGTAATTGAAATGAATATTCTGTTCAATAATTTTTAATATTCACTCATCCTGTTTGGGTAACCGGTGTGGTCGGTATTCCAGTTGACATTTTCTCATGTACAGACATTCAGGGACTGGTGGCGCACGCATTTGACGTGAAAGAAATTGGCTTGCAAACAATCAGTCGGGACATTGTGTTGGTCAATAATGAGTAAGCTATAGTTGGCCTGCACATGTTAATTTGTTATGCATGAAAACATGTTTAGTTGCCTTACAAAACTTATGTGTACGTAGGAGGATTCCAATAATACTCACTCTCTGGAATACTTATGCTGCAAATGAAGGTTACCAGTTGGCAAGCACCGTTAGTGCAGGGAATGTTGTTCTTGCTATGCGTGTTAAAGTTACAACATTGCATGGTAAAATTAACATCCATATTTAAGCATTTCCCTTTTAAACATTTGTAAACAATTTGTTGTACATTATGAATAGGACTTTCATTGTCCACTAGAGCTGGAAGTTCTATTCTCATCAATCCACCGACACCCGAAGCTGCTATCCTCAGACAATGGTGAGCAATTTGAAGATTCCTTAGTAAATAATACAATGTACATACATAAAATATTAATAAGTGTAAGAAATGAACACAGGTACCTGCAGGAGCAGGCTGTTGTTGCAGACCTCGTGGCAACTGAAGCTTACAAAAATACTTCGGTTTTACTGCCGCAACCACACCCTAAAGACATCAAGACCATGCAGACACTCGTCAGTCCTAACAATGAGGTATTCCAAATAAACGAAACAAAAAACAAAAATCATAAAAAGGCCAGAACATTACTAATTTGTTTAATTAATTGTCGCCCGATATGCCACCTAATATGGGCCATAGATTCACACGACATGGGTAGAAGGCTCAGTGGTTCTTGGCTGTGTGAAACAACCACTGTACTTTGGAGCCTGCATGCATTGCTTGCAAAAAATTGAACTACCGGTTGCCTATCATTTTCAATGCACCTCTTGCAACAAAGATAGCCAAATATTACCGAGGTAATTATGTTTTATGTGCACAATTTTTCCCTCGGATAACAAATATTAAATAAACGTTGGAACTCAATCATGACCCCCCACATTATTCCAGGGCTAGGATTCCAATTACCATTGAGGATGGAACCGGTTCTATTGACGCGGTGGCCTATGGGCAAGATGCTGAAAAACTCATCGGCAAAACGGGTCTGCAACTGCACCGTGCAAATCAAAAGGTGAAATTCCTGGGTACAAAGGTCGTACAAATTATGACGCTTGTTCACTAAACACAGAATTAACTTTTTGCAGAGCGAAAGGTTACAAGAATATATAGGAAAGAAGATAAAAGGGCACATGTTGTCTGCTTCATTAGGTCATTTGAGACGAATGGAGTACCAAACTCTGTGATAAAACTTTATCTGGATGATGAGCTGCCGGATTACATCTTGGCTAATACAGATGACTACATGGTGGAAGAATTGCCAGGAAATAACCAGGTTACTAAAATGACATGAAGACTGCTAAGTACATAATGCAAAAATATTTATTAAAAAATACTTATATTTTTCTCATGTCTGCTGCAGCCAGATGGGAAGACTGAAATAAAAAAGACAAATACAAAAGAATGTGTCCTCGCGCTTGCGGCACAAACTGCAGCCAAAGATGGCGGTCGTACTTCAAAGCCAGAAACTAGGCGTGCACTCAAATTGAAGACTAATAAGAATGCCGTCAGCGATAGGAAAAGTTCGTGTGCTGATGAATGCAGTGGATCATACCTGCAGAAAAAAAAATTGAGCAAACAAACAACCATCAACAGCTTGGCAAAGAAGAAGGCGCGCAGTACCAAATGATTAGTCTCCCATTCCGCGGTGAACTTTACTTATCTCTTTGATCTACTGCTATGGCAAGTTGTAAGATTCTGCGTAAACTTTAGTTATCTGTTTTGTTTCACAAGCCCTGCTTAGTTCACTTCATTCGTCGGCCACTTTCTGTCATCACCTTTTGAATTCGTAGATGTCATTGTTCTAGAATTGATTAAGCATCTACATGTTTTGGCAATGGAAAAAAACTGAATGAACAAACCTTGCTTAGACGGGTAGTTAAGCGATATTTTGTTTTCTGTAATCGATGCATGTTTTTAACACTGTGTAGCCGTTTATGGCTGCTTTTGTTCAAATTCTACCTGCTCCTTATAACAGTGGGTTATTTTGTTTTATTTATATTTTTATATTACTTACTCTTACAACAATTCATTTTTCGAGTACATGAATGCTGCTCTCAAGACTCATTTAATTTTATAATTTGTTAAAAATTGTGAATCTTGTAAATAGGCTACAATTTGAAATTTCCTCTATGGCGAAACACAGTGTACGCAGATACTTATTTAAAATTGCACAATAAGCAGAAGAATGAAGTAAACAAGTCTCACTGGAAATTTCACGCCAGCAACAAAAGTGAAGGAAATCAATATGCTCACTAACAAGAGTGTATCACACCCTCATACACACAACCCCAACTAAACTGGTGGGAAAAAAAAAATTGAAATGCAAAATGTTACAACAAAACATAGTATCATTTCATAATACTCATAAACAATACAAGACGACACTACTAAACACAAAAGTAAACAGAGAACTGCAGGCGTTAAAAAAAAATAGATATACTAAATTACATAATATTCTAAATAATATTCGAATCAATTCATAAATTATAGCCGTAAAATCTTGACAATGGCCACACAACATAAAAGGCCAACAAAAATAAAATAATAAACAACATATCGAGCACGCGGTCAACATTAACGCCGAATCAGTATTTGTGGAAATGTTCGTCAATGGTTGGCTCCGTCTGTGAGCGGTTTCAGAATACTTACTTGCATGCACACTATCTGCAGTTGTTTGTGATGAATTGGTGTAGCCACTCCGGAATGTACTTTTACTTCCTTCTGAAGAATATTGACAATGAACATCGTTCGCCCAAATAAAACAACCGTCATGTTGCTCGCGAACTGGACAACCGTAAAAATACTTTCCGTAGTTTTTTTCAGTTCTCGCCATTAAAAGCTTCATACGACCGCGCCCACAACAGCACAAAGGAGCTTCCATTTAAGCGTAATTATTTTTTTTTCTTTTGCTTTTCTTATTCTCTAAGAGTTTTTTTTCTACTGGTTTTTGGATGTTGAGTGCACCTTTAAAAGACAACATTTATAGAATCAAGAGCAAACAATAATGTACAATTTATTTTTTTTTATTATTTTTATTTTTTTCGGTCAAAGGAACAAAACAATGTCTGAGAATCCAGCTTGCATGGCACACTTTAGATATGAATGGTCAAAAAATTGCCACCACAAAGGAAAAAGCAAAGGGCCCCAAAATTTATAGCTGAATAAAAGGTCATTCAATTAGGTCACCTATTTTTATTAAACTATTACAATTCTATACTCTACTTTACACATATCACGGTTAAGTCACCCTCTGTCAGCTTACTTTCGGCTACACAACAACTTTTATATTCTTCCTCGCACTATCTCCCACACACGCAACAATTCATACGATTAAAAAAAAAAATCTGCTATTATCATTGCCATTTTATAGAGGCAAGATAATTGCAGGCTTTCAACAATCAGCCGCAACGAGGAGTTAGATCGCCAAGAAGACCAGCGGATTTACTCAGACTTGTTCTCTTCTCTCTCTCTCTCTATGCCTTTATCAATTTTTTTGGGCTGCTCTGTGTTCGATTTCTATCCTCTTAAACCCTAAATCATCAAATGTTGTTGTTCTCTATTTGAACTCATTATGTATTGTGAAAATCAACAGCCCTACTACTTTGTGCATGTGCTTGATTTTAGATAGGTTTCTTCCACACACATCTAATTTTATTTTTTTGGATGATATTTATTGGAGAGTGTTCTCTAGAACCCTTTTGATGTTGTTTTGTATAAATTATTTTCGTTTTTTTTGTGCCTATATTAACACAAAAATTACAACGGCTTTTTGTAAAATATTTATTCTAGACGCAAAAACTTGGCCAAATTTTGTTTTTTACTTTTTCATTATTTACATGTATAACTCATTTATTGAAGATACACATTCGTTCATCGAGTTGTGTAAATTTTTTAGTTGTTCTTCTAATGTCTTTAGCCTGTACAGATATGGGTCCTCATTTTTTATTTAGTACTGAGTCCAGGGCCTTTAGCTAACCCTGTACAGTTAGTTTCCTACAAATTGAACCTCTGATCTCACAATATTGGTCCCTGCTTCGGCGAGTTTAATTTTCAGAAGGACTTGTGTGTCTTGTAAGTTTTAGAACACTTGTAAAAAGTCTTCATTTGAAGCTTAAAACATAGTATATAGTGCCTCCATATATAGCTGAATGAATCGTCAATTGCTTAGCTTAAATCTCACATCACTAACATCACCAGTAGAACATGCGTGTGTATGCTCTATGTTTTGCTTTCTTTTTTTGTGTGTGTTGTCAATATTCTATAATGTTTATTTCTTTGTTGTTTTCTTGCTCTATCTACTATGATTTCAAAGACCCAAATATCCACTTGCCATTTGTTTCTGTTCCCAGAGTTGTTGGGTAGTATGCTCTTTATTTTTTGTCGGATTATGTATGCTCTTTATTTTTTGTCTCCGTGCAGCTGATAACATTGTCGTTTTAGAGGCCAGCTCGGTTAAAATGCAACAGATGTTTCTGAAGACAAAAGTCAATTCACGCGGAAATTTCGACTTGCCCCTTGATCGAACTCTTGTCATTTCATACATGTCGTTTCACAACAATTAGATGATAATGATAACATAATGTTCAATGCCAAGTGTTCGATCAGGGAGCAACTCGACATTAGTTCCGCAAATGTTATTCTACAATGTCAACCTACAAGAAGGAAACTTTATACGCAAATGCCATGAAAGTACCTTGGTACACTGGAAATGATTTAGGAGCGTTACATAAAGAATAAATTTATCAGCAAGATAACAGTTTTGTTTCCTTTTTTTTTAAAAAAAAAAAATATAGCCTGGTGAAGAGAGCGAAATGCAAACAGCGAATCCAAAAGCATGTATTCAGGCGGTGGCTGGAGAAACAATGGGCAAAGATGATGCTCTTGCATCTAACCCGCTGAGTAGAAACTTCAAGAACGAAAAAAATACCATCGGCAATGTGGATGATTTCCACGGCGCAGAGTGTGGTGGAACATATCCTACAAAGAAAATTGTTGCCGAGCAATAAATTATCAATGACGAACCGAAGAAAGCACACATTAGCAAGTGACCAGTTAGACGGGTGCCAAGCTTTAGTAATTTCGTCTTTCTAAGTCTCTCATTATTTACCAGTTTCGTTATAACCTTTTGTGATCTATTTTCTGTAATGCTTGGTACTTAGTTGACCATCCATTAAGCATCTTCATACTGGGACGCCTAAACGATTCAGAAATGAAGCATGCCTTCTTAGCCAAGTAGATAACCAAGGTGTCAAACTTAAGTGCTACTTTGTTTTGGAAACTGGGTACTGTTTTCATTATATAGCTGGATATGTCCTCTTTTGTTGCAATGGTAACTAATGTTTGCACATTTTTTCTCATACTTATTGTGTGTTTATTTTATGCAACAATTGGTGTTGGTGTACCCAAATTGTGGATATTATAATTATTAACATAGTTGTAGAGAATGAAAATAAAATGTTGCCCACACAAACAAAAAAAAAAACTTTTAAGTTTTAAATACCAAATGCAAGTAATTTGCCTACAAACACAAAGTAGAACTTTTTTTGGGGACTTTCAGGCACAGACAATGAAATATATTTCATTACTATAACACTGGACATGAAAAGGAGAATAATAGTGTGTAATTTTGTTGGGAAATTATAAATAAATTACGCATAACAGTTTCAACCATATGTAACAGTAAACACAAACTACAAATTGGTTTGTAACTCATCATTCAAACAACTACAAAATCATAATACTTGGCCCTAAACGATCCTTGCTATACATAAGGGTTGAAGTTGAGCCTTACTCATTTTAGGCCAATTTAAGTCAATATAAACTTTGGAGATGTTAGGTACGTTCACAATTATTATGTAAACCAAACGACACCTCAATTAAACATTTACAGTAGAGTAACACAACACTTAAAAAAATGTGCAAATCTACACGGAACAATGATCAAGGAACAATGTAAATTCATTTCCAATTGTAAAATTCAATTTTCAACATAAAAGCATAAATAAACAATACACGAAAGACATAGAACGTTTATTCTAGGAACAGTACACTTATTTCCCTCGAGTTTTTTAAACGTGTACGATTTTTTTTTAAAACACGATGGGGCGATAAATATATGTTATCCACATCAAATAATGTTGCCGTGTTCGAAAACAAGTCTTTCCGTACCCGTTGCTTATATTTTTTTTCTTGCCCCTATTTATCCTTATTTTCTTCGACTTTTTTAAACTGTACGCGGATTTAAACAACCACACACCTCATAAACCACTTGCGAAAGTCAAGAGAACAAAATCCTAAAACATTTCCATTAAATAAAAAATACATCTGAACAAATCCAACGTACGCTATAATAAAAGTTGCAACAACTTAGGACAAATTTTTTTTGTATTTTTACACGGTGTGTTAGACCGGCGTCACCAAATCTAGTGTATATAATATTTGTCAGTTTAGCGTATGTCGATCATTTTTTTAGCCCACTTTCTCGACCTCCTAGTATTATTCGAGACCGATAAATTGCATATCTTTCCAGTCCTTTTGAGCTTGATTAATTTCTTGCCCAATATCAAGCATTGAGTCCACCCAAGTGCAAGTACTAATCTCGGCCCAACTTGGTACAATTCTCGCCAA